CTCCAAAAATTCATCACGTAAATCTCCAAAGAATTTTTTTCACCATGGATATTTAATAGTATTTCAGAAATATTATTTCGCAGCTAAACTGGGATGGTTACATGAAACGGAATATTTTTCTTGCTATCTAACGAGGCGAGTTGATGATATTAAAAAATGTATAAGAAATTTTCGCCAACCCTAAATAATGAACCACGCATGTGAGATCAAAAACAAGAACATTTTGCGTCAACACGATGTACGCTGTATAAAAGAATTGTTTTTAGCCCCGTAAGCCTGTTAATTGCAGCTCTGATTGAAAGCCACGCTGTGATTACAATATCAATAGGCGCAATTTACTGCTCTCTTAGTCCCGTAAATTTTACCATGAAGCTCACGTGTTCCTTCTTTGAACCTATAAGAATTGTATTCTGTTTTCGAGTTTAATTTTCATTCAACTTGGGGTGGAAAATTTAAAGTGCATCTCAAATAAATCTCAAAATACCAGAGCCAAAAATTTCTAGCTGGATGTCTGCATTACGAGTCCGCGTGAATTTTCTAGTCGATGGCGATGCAGGTATAGTTAAAAAATAAATGTGCGAGGTGCGATATACCATATCCTAATTGGCCACAATTGCAACGTTTGAATAGACAAAATGCTTCTTCCTAACAATAATAATGGATACACAATTATATGTTATGTAAAAATTTATATACACAAAAAAAATATTTTTACACAATTATATAAATGGATAATTTTGAACATTAGGACATAATTGGCGAAATAATGTTACCCTCGTGTATTAGTGTTTGCGTTATAAATCACACATAAATGAATGCAAGAAAATGAAGAGCAAGACATAAATCATTAAATATGTTCCCTTATTAAATCAATGTATGGGATCCCCCCAAAATGCAAAACTATCACAAGCATCTTACTAAAGAAGCAAACAAGATAAACTATCTCTTCCTCTCTTGTTTCAGAACACGGTTACCAGCCCCACAGCAGACTTCTTCAGGCGAGTTTTCCCTGTGGTCCGTACTGAAGCAAGGCATCGGCAAAGAGCTCTCGAAAATAACCATGCCTGTAGTGTTCAACGAACCTCTCTCCTTCCTGCAACGGGTCACCGAGTATATGGAGTACGCACATCTTCTCGATAGAGCTTGTGAAGAAGATGACCCTGTGCTCAGGATGCAGGTAAGGAAACCAGTGTTGTCTAATAACCCGAACTTGGCTTTTCGACAAAAATTCATGCTGTTTACCTAACCGGTAAATTATGATGCGTATTCATAATATACTAGCAGATTATCGCTCAACTCTCTATATTCAATCTATATTCTTTGTAGTCGTAAACGTGTTCATGAAAACAGGCTTCAAATCAGTGTATTTTCAGTTTCGTGCCTAAAACAAACGCTCGGATAAGTGCTGTTTTATCTTCCTTCAAAAGGGAAAACACAAAAACGCTATGCTCTCAAAGTTTAGAGCGCACCTGGTTATCCTCTGTAAAGAATAATCCCGCATCATAATAATCACAAATGCATCGTAGCACGCCCTGAGTGAGCAATTGTTTGCGGTCCATAATAATAATCCCAGTCTAAGCCGCATGTGCATCGTCAACGAAGCACTCAGGCCCACATGCACTCAGTGTTGATAGTCAAAAGCCTGCGGTGCTTCCGCACTGCCACGTCGAGAGCTGCATTGCGGGATCATCAAAGAATGTAAGCACGGAGAAAAATAAAGATTTGCCACGGCTAGCAGTCTTCATCGATTGCTGGCACTGGTCTCACAATGCCTAAGTCTGCAGTGTCTTGCGGGCGTCTTTTATGCAACGAGTGTCTCCCAAGTGAGCATGATCAACCTGACGGCTTCTTTTTGTATTGCAACAACTTCTATTTTGGTGGATCGGTCAGCGATAGGGTGAAGAATTTTATTCAATTGAATAAGAAATTCCAGTTGGAAGCCGTGCAAGTTACCCGATTTAAAACGAGGGTCATGATCCTTTCTACAACCCCTGGCAAAAATTATGGAATCACCGGCCTCGGAGGATGTTCATTCAGTTGTTTCACTTTGTAGAAAAAAAGCAGATGACAGACATGACGCAAAACTAAAGTCATTTCAAATAAAAACTTTCTGGCCTTAAAAAACACTATAAGAAATCTAGAAAAAAATTGTGCAGTCAGTAACGGTTATTTTTTTAGACCAAGCAGAGGGAAAAAATATGGAATCATTCAATTCTGAGGAAAAAATTATGGAATCATGAAAAACAAAAAAACGCTCCTACACATCACTAGTATTTTGTTGCACCACCTCTGACTTTTATAACAGCTTGCAATCTCTGAGGCATTTACTTAATGAGTGACAAACAGTACTCTTCATCAATCTGCCTCCAACTTTCTCTGATTGCTGTTGCCAGATCAGCTTTGCAGGTTGGAGCCTTGTCATGGACCATTTTCTTCAACTTCCACCAAAGATTTTCAATTGGATTAAGATCCGGACTTATTTGCAGGCCACGACATTGACCTTATGTGTTTTTTTCAAGGAATCTTTTCACATTTTTTGCTCTATGAGTACGCACACAGTGAAAGCAGGTTTGCCCGCGCGGGCAACCTGCTCCAACCTGCCACAAGAATGAACATAGGATAATAATTTAAGTGTTAACAGTGAAAACCTGTACGAATAGGCTTCTGTATTCTATGGTTTCAGGCGCCAGCCTGAGCAGGTAACCAGCACGCTGGCAACCTGCTTTCACTGTGTGCGTACCCTTAAACAAGATGCATTATCATCTTGCAGATTCGAGATTCATCACTGAATATGACTTTCATCCAGTCATCCACAGTCCACGATTGCTTTTCCTTAACCCATTGTAACCTTGTTTTTTTCTGTTTTGGTGTTAATGATGGCTTTCGTTTAGCTTTTCTGTATGTAAATCCCATTTCCTTTAGGCGGTTACAGTTCGGTCACAGACGTTAACTCCAGTTTCCTCCCATTCGTTCCTCATTTGTTTTGTTGTGCATTTTCGGTTTTTGAGACATATTGCTTTAAGTTTTCTGTCTTGACGCTCTGATGTCTTCCTTGGTCTACCAGTATGGTCTACCAGAAACAACCTTCCCATGTTGTTTGTATCTGGTCCAGATTATAGACAGCTGACTGTGAACAACCAACATGTTTTGCAACATTGCGTGATGATTTACCTTCTTTTAAGAGTTTGATAATCCTCTCCTTTGTTTCAATTGACAGCTCTGGTTTTGGAGCCATGATTCATGTCAGTCCACTTGGTGCAGCAGCTCTCCAAGGTGTGATCACTCCTTTGTAGGTGCAGACTAACGAGCAGATCTAATTTGATGCAGGTGTTAGTTTTGGGAATGAAAATTTACAGAGTGATTCCATAATTTTTTCCTCAGAATTGAGTGATTCCATATTTTTACCCTCTACTTGGTCCTAAAAAATAACCGTTACTGACTGCACAATTTTTTTTCTTGATTTCTTATAGTTATTCTTAAAGCCAGAAAGTTGCCATTTGAAGTGACTTTAGTTTTGTGTCATGTCATTCCATAATTTTTGCCAGGGGTTATACATAATCTTGAACATGGAATTTATTGATTGACGCTAGCGGTCGAATGAATGCAGAGCCGTTTAAAATTTGGCATGCAAGGGAAAAAATTCATAAAGAAGGAGATGGACGTTTCGTTTCATAAGTTGATGTAATACAATTCAAAATCGCCTGACTGCAATTGTTAGTCTGACTTTTAAAATCGTCTGACCTTTAAAATGATACTACAATTGTTTGTGAGTCTAAACGATTAAAAATAATTCGAAACGAAGGAATTTTTTAACTCAAGACATTATATCCTATTTTTTGCATCTCATGAGAATATTAAGCTTCTTGACTAGTCAAAGCGTCTATGAAATGCAGTAAGCCTTTTGTGAAGGTCATGAGTTATTCATGTGGTTTCATTCTCAACATGGGGATTTAAAAAAATCTTAGCCAAGCTGGAAACCCAACTACATTTTTTATTCAACTGAAAATATTAACATTTGACGGCAGAACTTTTTGATCTATAACAAAATGATATGAAATTTCGACGCTTGGGCCATAGCATGACAACTAGCAACTGGTACACGAGAAAAAAACAATCTATGTAAGAAACCAAGATTTGGCTTTGGCGTATTGATACCAGAAAAACGTGAGCCGGAATTTTTTAATAAATTCAAAGAAAAATACAGCAAACTTTCACATTTCAAGCCCATGCTTGAGGCTTACACTTTTCTGACAAATCTGGACACATCTTTTCTGACACGCCACGGACACATCTGGTGTCTGCTGTGCTATTGTGTTACATGGATAATCCCTTTGTTCCATAGCAGTCCTCCAACTTCCAGAACATGAAAACCGTAGTTTATAGTCTTTAATGAATTTAATTTAAGAACTTACTGCACGACAGAACGTCATCGGCCTCATGTCATACTCATTAATCACACTGTTTGCATTAGTGATTTTATGCATTTGCTGCTGTGAAACAAATTTTCAAAAGTTTGTACCTATTTGTACGAAGTTCGAATTTGAAGCGGGTGGAAATTGGAATCATAGTCGTAATTTAAACACTTTATTTGAGACGTAGCTACATGGTGCAACTCAGTAGTACATATATCCATTATACACAATACCAATACGAAAGACAAAGTAAGTCAGGATGACATCGGTTGCAAAAGTGGCAGAAATCTGTCATCCAAGACGCTCCTGAAATATGAGAGTGGTTTTGGTAACATTTCCTATTTTCTCGTGCGTGCAGAGAATCCCTCACGACGGATTCTTCAATGAAGTCATTTGAGAATAAGAACAAAGGATCATCTCGCGACACCGTCGGTTTTTCGTAGCCGGTGGGCGTTGTCAAAAATGTTGCTAACATAAAAACGTGTAGCAGGTCGGCTAGCCTTTGTTCATCATCGTGCCCGTCATCTAGATGCTGCTGGAACACGAAAATTAACGACTGAAAAGTTCAGACTTCTTCTTTAATTTCTTTTGGTCGTCTAGTGAAATGCAATAAATTATCCCTTGTATTCGAAAATGGAACGCCAGCAGGAATTTTTTGTGCATGGTCAAGCGCTACACTAAAAGAAATAGAATCTCGATACTACAGATTAACAATTTTAATAGAGTACTGCCAGAAACCACGTCCACAGTAAGTTGTCACCACAAAATTTTGCGAAACAATGTTATCAAAACTAATATCATCAACATCGATTGGTTTATCTGAAGCCGGTCTGTCATAAATGTTTGCCCAAACACCCTTCGCTCGAGAGGCAAGGCATGAAAGGCTTGGACAGCTTCAATATCGGCGTTTGATATAGTGCTCGGCCGTGTGTTTACACAAGCTCATTTATCGTGAAACACGGTCGCTACCTTGCGACCATGTTTCACGATAAAAGCCAACTATCCCTTACGTACCGGTGAATATTTACGAACAAAATCAGGCATGGGAGTTAACAAGAAATTTGAATTTTAAGGGCTGCTACAGGACGCAACTGCCCTAATAGTATTTTGATATGTTCAATCTACCTATTTCACAAATTAAGAGCTGCGCATACTTATATACTATCATTAGACATTAATTAAAATCGAAGTTTAAATCTTCCTAAAATGCATGAATTCCATGTAGAAATCTTCAATGTTTTTAGAGACCTTGCAAATTTATCATTGACGTGAAATAGATTTGACGTTTTAGTTGCCTGGTCGTATTCTAACTATTTATTTATATTATTGTAGCCTCCTTTTTCTTTGTAGCAACACCTGACAAGAAAAAAAATTTGTTGCTTGACTTGCTACTTTTAACAGGCTATTCACTCAATGTTGTTAGAAGATCTATGAGATAATAAGTAGCGTAAAAACCACAAGCATCGCCATGGCCTATCCCTCACGGGGCCATTAATTTCCTTACTTTCTCCTCGGTTATCCCACAAAATAGTTAACAGATAAACCATACTACATGAGATGTATCGTTCATCGAATCCCAGCTGTGAAATGATTTGAATTCAAGAAATATATCAAAATTTATGCACTTTGCAAATCTCATTGAAATCAAACCAGGGTAACAAATGAATCATAATGAAAAATTTCATGGTTATTCCTGCATTTCTTCTATACATAATTAATTGGCTGAAAGTATAAAAAAATTTTGCATGACCTGAAGATGAAATTATGAAATGAACATTGAACTAGTCGGTATGGAAAGGAAGCGATGGGAGCAAATCTAACCGTTCGTCGGATTATACCATAGTCAGTAAAATATCAATAGCAGATGTAATGACGAAAATAAAATGAAGGGAATGGGTTGAATGAAATGATGAAGACGTCCAGTTTATGTTATGGGGTATCCTATGCAATAATACTTCAATTATATTGCAATTGCAATGGTATACTGAAATTCTGCAATAGAACTTAATGAGCGTGTTAAATAGAAAGAATTCATATTACCTGCAGACGCTGGTAAGTGTTAATCCCCTGAGGTCGAGGTCTCAGGAGCATTTCGAGGTCGAGGTCTCAGTTTGCCGTCACTTAACTGACGGACTCTGTAATTTGGCAGACTAAATTTAGCAAGTTTGTGGGCAAATTTAGAAATTTCCTCGACGCAAAAATTAACAATGTTGAGACGAAGTTTAAATACTGAGTTTATTTCTCTCCAAGAATATATTGTTCTTGACAACTATTTCGATCTCACTATGTGCAATTTTTTCATTGCAACTTTGCCGATCTAATGTAAGGTATCGGCTGCTTGCTTGTGTTCGACGAACATTTCGCTAATTACTACCATAATTTCATTATTTTCTGTCAACTTTCATTGCCATTATTTTTCTGCTTTTTTAACTGTCGCCGGCGAAATTGGCGACGGACAAACAAAACGTCAAGCGACGTCAGCAACTAACTCGTCGTATCTTCGGGGCGCTGAGAACAAAGACGTCGTATCTACGGGGCGCTGAGAACAAAGACGTCGAATCTTCGGGGCGCTGAGAACAAAGACGTTGAATCAGACGTACCAACTTCGATTGGCTAAAAGCTAACTCCTCGCAACTTCCATGCGCTAATAAGTAACTCGTAACTTCGCTGCGTTTTACAAGTAGCGATTCTTTCCAACATAGATGCGCTTAGAAGTAACTCGCCTCAAACTTCGGCGCGCTGAGAGGGCACCGTGTTCTAATCTCAAGACTGGAATCAAGAAATCTGACGCCCGATGCGACATGTTTTGAAAGAACTTGAAGCAAAGGCTATAAAACTTTGCCGGTGTTTGTTAGGCTGCTGCTCGTAATGCGCTTAGAGTGAGTTTTTGAAGTCATCGTAATTCAGAGGTCAATTTCGTTCGCTCAAGCGAAGTGATTTCCGAAGCTCTGTTTTTTGATGAAGTGACATAAATAATATTGTTCAGTCTCTAGTCCTTGATGTGCGAAAACCGGTATTTTTTAAATTATTTTTTGAAGATGATGGTGTACATACGATTTATAACCTGCATTAACGATGTTACGTAGTTTTGCGTCAACTGTGTGATTAAAAATGTCAATGAGTTTCGATTATTTAGATTTTTCAAGTATTAAACACATGAAATCGAAATATTACTCTAAGCTCATGGAAATTTGACACCTTTATAAATTTGATTTAAAGTAGAGCTTCTCCTAACATCCACTTGATATTTTACCGCTATATTGTTTTATGACATTTCAAATTGCAAGCGATAAAAATTAAGCGCAATCGATTGGGAAAATCTATTGATTACCTTATCAGGAAAATAAATTTGAAAGTTTACGAAATGTGCATTTTGAAATGTTTCTGCACAAACTTCTAACTTAAATCACGCTAAATATTCACCATAACTACGATCCGTGAATTAAACGTATTTTGGTCCCTCAATGCTTTGAGCTTCAGGGACCAATTTAGCAGAATGCCACTGGTACTGTGAAACCAAATGCAAAATGAAATATTTTCTACGCTAGAATTTCCAAACACTTTTCGAATATGAAATTTTCTATCGAGATTTTTTAATATCTTGGCCTGCAGCCCCGGAGGCTCCGTTCTTTAAGCTAACCAGCGGTAAAATGATGGACGTTCTCGGCAATCCCAAAAGTAAATTAAATCTTCGTTCAATTCCCGTGGACTTTTACGAAATTCAACCTCTAGAAACGAAAACCACGAACTTGAATAAAATGCATAAATTTTGCCCGATTTCTCTGAAAATTAAGTTGGATTACTTCACTCTAATTTATCAAGCGCTCTTGCAGTTGATGAAATATATATTAACATAATAACATTTCTTACGTCGTCAAGCGATTTTAATATTTGGGCGTTTTCCAACAGGTGAGACGGGCTGCAGGTGAGGCTATTTGATGGTGGGGTGGACCACAGGTGCGATAGGCTCGAGGTTGACTACACGTTAGGCGAGTTACATTTGAGGTGATCTATACAGATGCGGCACATGATTTAGTTGTGCAGCAGAGATATAGTGGCACGGTTGTGTGCTGGTGTATTGCAGGGTACTGTGGCGCAGTGAATGTAATGGTGCATCAGATGGTATGGTGGCACTGCAGATGGTGTTGCTGTGCTGAAAATGGTGTGGTATATGGTGTGATGAGGGTATAGTGGTATATGGTGTAATGTGAGGACTGCAGATTAGTGATTCTTTTTGAAATTAGTTGTCCACCGTCAAGTTGGAGCCACAGCAACAGAAGAGAAGTTTAAGTAAATGGTTTGTTGTAAAATAACTCTTTGCAATTTCAAGGTTGGGAATTTGGGAATTTTAACTGTAATATTGATGAAATAATCTGGACATTTGATGGCTTGCATCATCGAAGCAAATTTTTTCACGCCCATTCAAATGTCTCAATCTTTTTTTGGAATTCTTTTGCTCTGTTTTCCTTCACTTGATGAGCGCCCCGAATGACCTCTCACAAATTGCAGGAAGCCTGGCAAGGTCAGGCGCTGGAATTTAAACTTCAGAGAAGACGAAAAATTTAACCGAATTTTCTATCCTCACATTTTTGACAAGCTTTTTTTCAATTTCTCGCTCGTGTCTAAAGAGTTTGAAAAATTAATTCTGAAGTTTGGCTGGTGCCATCCAAGTTCTGATCTTTAATGACTAAACGATGTCGTACTCGGAGGGAATCTCTCAGATTTTATGCCACGGAAATGATGAATGACGTAAGTCTAATGACATCAGAGATGTAATCGTGTCAAGGCTGCTTGGCTAAGAGGAAATTATCCTCCTTTTTAAACCTCATGCAAGGAAGCGTTTAATCCAGGAATGAATGTTGACACTGTTAGCCGAATATCTAGGGATTCAGTTCACATTTATAACATTTTATAAAATTTATAACATTTTATTTATTTATAATATTTTACTTGCTGAATACTTGTAATTTTAGTATATATAGACTAGCAGCTTGTATTCAAAGGCGGACAGTGTTTATGATGGCCATGAGAATAATTTGAAGATAGAATTGCAAATTGCATCAGAAATTGAAAAGATTTTCTCGTACGTTCACCGATCTTCATTAATATGATTTCAAGAGGGTATTAATCCGTGGCTATTTTGTGTTATCTTGCTGGTATACAACATCTTGATCACAAGCAAATGCAAGTATAAATATAAATGTATTTATTGTAAGTATGAATAACTGTAAATGTACCCGATTATTTAAATGATAATACAATAACTGTGTGTCGACACAGGATCGTAGCGGAGCAGGTCTCCCACCACCCGCCCGTGTCTGCGTTCCACGCTGAGGCGGACGCGTGGTTCTTCCACGGCTCAGTGCACCCCAAGCTGCGCTTCTGGGGCCGCAGCGTCGAGATCCAGCCTAAGGGGACGCTCACTCTCGAGCTCCTTAGGTGAGGAAACGTTAAAATGTCGATAATATTGTCGGAAAATTTGACGATTTTGTAGCTTGGGTTTAATATTTGTAATGAACATATATAAGTGGTCTGATTGCTGATTCAGATTCACTAAATATTTTCAATTGTTCATAACACAGTTTAAATCTAATAGCTTCCAGAATTTCGCTCTCGTACGTTTGATTTTTGGACAAATGACGTTCGATCCACTATTAAAATTGTTCTCCAGGGTTCAACGCCACTCTGGGTCAACGTGTTTGTAGTTTAATATCAAAAAAAGATACAAATATTTCACGACAGTTAACTTTGTTTTTGTCAAATAAAAACTACAGGCACGGTGAGGCGTACACTTGGACGAACGTCAACTGCTGTGTGCACAACCTGATCTCCGGGCAACTGTGGATAGAGCAATACGGAGCAATGGAAATTATCAACCATGTGACTGGTACGAATAAACCTTAAACATTGTTCTACTACATGAACTTAAGGTATGACATAACAATATAGGCACAATCTGTCAAAACCAAATCCTTTATCTAAATTGTGTGCAGTAAGCTGTGATCGAAGGAGGCAATTTTCGATGTAATAAAAATGTTTGAAATTTTTATTTTTTGCATTTTGTTGTTCGTACGTTTGATGCTGGCCACTTGGAATATTTTTGGGTCATTCGAGCGCGAACTTACTATTCCTTTTTCAAGAATTTAACCTTGGTTTTAAATTTTATTTTTAATTATTACGTCATGATGTATCAAAAGAAAGTATTCTGAATACAAAATTGCTACGAAAATTTGTATTAGAATATTTTAATCATATTGAAAAAAATTAATTTCCCTCTTAAGTTCGAAACGGAGTTTAAAAGGGATTGAGTGCTAAGTGAGAGCTCGAACAGAATTCCGCTTAATTAGTATTATTTTACTCGAGTATTCTTATTATAGGAGGGAAGGCGTCTTGATAATGGAATTGTCACATCCAAGAAATCATCTGCGTTTGGGATAGAGTGGGATAGAGTGGTGCGGTTGGGATGGACTGGGATGAAAAAGAGTGGAAAAAAGATATATGTAAGTGAGTGAAATGATATGGCCTGAAGGCGTGGAAGCAAGGAATGGAGGGAAAGAACACTCTAAAACTGTATGAGATGAAAGCGATGCTAAAATATGAATGCCCAAATATGAATAACAGATACCGCCACGCGATATAACTATATGTCAAGATAATTCAATTTCCCTATAATGTAATTCAGCTCCGACCCGACAAGATACAAATATTGTATGGTCCGAGTGCAGGGGTGACTTGCGTAATTTCGTGTGCATGCGATGCACGGAAGACCGTAAAAGGCCGCAGTGGTACATTGCAACGCTTCCCAAGATGGCGCGTGCTTTGTGCTTCAGTGCATCTTAACATTACACGGTGTAGCATGGTAGCATGGTTCACTGAAATGATGAGAACATTCATGAGGATACACAAGAAAATTACCTCGCCTTAATTTAATCGTTGCATGGAATCGTGTGCTTCTGAGCAAATCGTTAAATGTTGATTTTGATATTATCATTATTCTTTATTTTGATTAAGTTTTGTTATTCATCTAAAATTTGTATTTTTTGGTATAGTTGCTCATATAGATAAATTTGATTAAAAAGAATAATAATTTTTACTTACAACTTTTTTAGAGTTGAGTTCATCGAGTTGTTATTGAACAGTTAGAGAAACTAAACTCTGAAAAATTTCTAAATGAAAATGACAATTATTTTAACCTAACTTATTCATCTATATAAGCTCTTCAGTATACGAAGCCAAAAGACTGCAATGTAAGTTTAATTAAATTCCATTGGAGTTTTCTTTCGACAAATTTACTATGAAATCTGAACTCTTCAAATGTTAATTTAGAGTCTTCAGGATATCGCTTTATGTTTGTTGTTCCAATTAGTGCGATTCTAATTGGGAAGTTAGTTAATTGAATGCCATTACTTGCACGTGCTTTTGCTCGCGTGTGTTTTGTTGAATACAATAAGAGAACTAATGGAAGTCGTTATTTGTAACGGGCTATAGATTGAACAAAATTAAGTGTAATTGCATGCCTGTGTATAATATGCTGGAGACCTGTCTAATTTAACTATGCATAATAAAATGGTGCTTGTGAAAAAAGTGACTTAGTTCTGATACTTTTTCTATTGTTATTTTTCCCATTATTAACAGTGATAACTATTTCACTAATTTTTTGCATAGTTTTCTCTCGCCAAACAAAAAATTCTCATGGTTTATCGTTTTCCACAGCAAAACGATTAGAAACAAAAGGTTATATGATCTTTTGATCTTGCCTGTGTGTTTCTATCGAAAATTTAACATAGGAACCTCATTCTACTATAGATAATTATAAAAGGGCTGATTTTCCACATATGGCCTTGTAAGTTAGCTGAATTTTTGTTATTTAGATTTGTATTGCCGAAATTATTTGGTTAAAACATTTCAATGATGCACGAGAGGTTTAAACTCTAGTGCATTTCCGATTGAACGACTAATGCCACAGACATTGGACATTTAATACTGCTCTACTAGTTTCGCCTTAAATATGAACCTTATTATGCTTATTGCTGTATATTGCGATATTATTTTGTATCACTTTTCACCCCTTTTCGTCCACTTAGCACATATTGCATTTTTTCATCACAGTCCACCTACTATAAAAGGACATGAGACGCTCTCACTTCTCTTCCAATAGCAAATATTTTTTCGAATCATGAAGGTCACTCACCGCTGTAATATTGAATACAAAGCGCATTGATCATATAACATCAGAGTAACGAAGCCACACATCACTGATTTTCTATATGAATAGTTTGCCCAGGATATATTTTTTAAATTATTGTAACTTATTATAACATTGACTCCTTACACCATCCATCGCTTCACTGATTAATCTGCTTGGCGATGGTGACAGTTTTTATCGACCGTTATAACCGTTGATTAAAATTGTATCGCCAATAAATACACTTAAGTTGCTTTTGCAAGTGAAAGCTTGACGGCACTCTGATTTGAAAGTGTAAAATTAGTTGAAATAATTCCTTTTGCCCAAGGTTTGTAAAGAACGCTTTCAGTATTCAAAATATACACGAATATTTCATAGATTTTGACGTGATCGACATTTAAGATATTGCAATCCCGACTTCTGGAGTAATCATATTTTCCGTAACAGCAAATACGGAATCGTCTTTTATGACCCGCACTCCTCTAAAAATTGCAATTTATTTTTTATTGATTCTACAGTGCTCCGATGGCAATATTTATAATTGTTTGTTGAATTTCAATTATGTCGTAGTCTCTTTTCAATGCTCGAAGTGCCTGTTATTATTGTTATCGCTAAAAAGAGCGTTATTTTGATTTTTAACTTGTATTTCTAAGGTCACAAAGGAGTGCTGAATTTCAAAGCTGGCGGAGGGAGCGCCGGCAAGGATTTACACAAAGTTGAGGGATTCGTCCTGGATAAAGAGTGAGTTCAACACTTCTTGTACATGTAACATAATTCGGGCAGTTAATGTGTAAATACATTAATCTGTTATTTTTAATTTGAAGGAATCTAATATATCCTTGGTTTCAGTAGAAATTAGATACATAGATTAGTTAATGGTAGAACCGTTAGCGAAGCCGTCAATAACAAATAAATTGAAATGCATCCAAAGAAGGGCCATTTTCAAGCTCACGTATTCTTAATTAGCTGTGCGGAAAGATTCATCTGAAATAATTGAACCGGATATGAAGAGAACGGTTTAATTTTAGTCATATAAGAATGTTAAATAAGGCAAGAGTCACGTCAATTTCATCATTAGTAGAAAACTAAGGGCTACTATAGCTTATTGTTTTGTCCAATCAATTATCAGGAACCGAAAAATATTGTTGACTGCTTTACTTCTGTGGGGATAATATGAAATTTTTCCCGTTTTCCTGTGATCGCAGCAAAAAGAAATTACGGTTTGTGTACGGCCGATGGACAGACTTGCTAAAGGCGACGGATGTCGCTTCTTACGAGGAATACCGCGCAGCGTTTCCTGCCAAGTTCAAGTGAGACATGATCGATAAAGCTCAGCTAAGACAGGTGGCTGATTATTGTGGTACTTCGGGCTGCTAATTAGTTATCTGTATGCTTCGTAAAGTGTAATTATCATTCGAAAAATGGAGAAGTTATATTAACCATGTTAGTATATCTGAAAAATAGACAAATAAGACGCTGTGTTGTAGTGTGCTTTGTAAGTATAGCGTGTAGCAACACGTACTTTGGTGTGTTTGCGTGACTCAAAATTAGATTGAATAACTAACTTATTACTAATTAACTTATTACCTTAACTTGCCATAACTTATAAGTGGTCGAGCCCGTTGACGGTCGATCTAGCGTTTCATCACGTAAAGCTCCTCATTCGTATTCTCTGCAGCCGTGATGATACCCGAAAGAAAAGTGGCGAGAATGGATCAGCTTTCTCGTCTCCCGCGTCATCGTCAAGAAAAATGTTCTCAAAGCTCAACTCAATCACGTCTTCTTTTAAAATCAGCGTCGATACAGAGGTAAAATGATTTTTTTTCAGAGGTATACAGGTACGTACAAGTAGTTTAAAAAGTACATACAAATAACGTAACAACAAAACCTGTTTCAAATTACTACTATTCCAAGCTGATACCTGAAAAATTGCAGATTTTTCAAACCCCGTACTGAAAATTTTTATACGACCATCGATCTTTGGTTTGGGTAAAATATCAGGAAATTAACTGAAGCTTTATCCACTTTTGGTTTGGATATCGATAATGTTAACAAGTTAGCGTTATCGATAACTTGAACAAGTTGAGTTTTCGTTTAATAACGTCAATCGTTTTAGAGATGATTTAGTTTATTTGATATTAAATAATTCGAATATTCATAAATTTTCGGCTCTACCTCCAGGCCGCTTTCGAAGCGGAGGATGAGGAAGAGGATGAAGGAGGCCCCATCCCACGAACGATATCCACATACAGCGTGGACATCCCCAACTCCTACACCTTGTGGGAGGTCACACCCCGCCCTCCCCACTCTAGTGAGGTGTGTAGTGCTCACCGTAACTCTCCGTCTTTATGAAATATTTGGTATAATTTAATCTCATAAATCTTCCACTTTTCTTTCCTGAAACGTTTTTCACTAATATTAGCTAGCAATAAAAATAATTCCCATATTAAATTATTACAAATCGGTAATTTAAAAATTAAATCTAAAGTTAAACTGTCGAAATAACAATTAATTACAGTTCTACGTACCTGTTGTCTCTAAAAATTATTTGCGTTTGAACAGTACTACCACTTCACTCTGTTCGCCATGGGCCTCAACGAGAGAGATCCTGCCAGCATCGATAAAATCGCTCCAACTGACAGCAGGTAAGTCATTTTTATCTAATTATTATTCTAGAATTTCAAGTGGATACAAGTTTGAAATATTCTTATATGTGTAATATTTGTTTCTGAAATTACATGTTTTCAACTTACCGTTTGTTGCGCATGCCTAAAAACTAAAAATTTTAAATGCGAAAATAACGGAAAACATTTTGATACACAACATAACTTAAATTCCAAAGATAAACAAAGGTATGCTTCCGAAAGTATCTACTTCATAGTATAGATTTCGCTTCAGACTCAAAGTATTACGTGCGGAGATAAACAATAGGTTTGCCTGTGGCCCAATGTCGATTGAATGATGGTGTAGCTTAAGCGATCTATTTGTTATATATTGGTCACGTTGATCTGACAGCTTAGAAGGCTAGAAACCGTCACTCAGACAAAGTCACGAGGAAAATATATAGAGGAGCATTTAAATAGACATCCACACATGCACGTCTTGGTTATTTTTGCCCGAATGTTAATTTGATTCGCTTATTCTGTGAAATTGAGCAAGTGACCTAAAATTTATCACAAGATACGTAGACCTCCAGCTCGCGGAAGTCATTTCCAGGAATTCGCTTCTGCACTTTTGTTGCGAGTTTGATCTATGCAGAATATATTTTTTTATCAATACGTACATCCAAGTAAAAAGTACATGAACTTTTGTTGAAACACTAGACTCTAAACAGACAATAGGATCAACGAATTTATCAAATATTTTTTGGGCGGTGGATGGCGGAGAGATAACTCGTCATCGATTTTTTTCAAACATAACTTGTGTGCGCCCAGGATCAACGTTGGATTTTCTCCCCAATTGCTCGAGTCTCACAACAACTTGTTATTGACACGTCACTAAAGGGACAATTAATCTAGCTTTCTGGTAAGAAAAGAAGCTGATGACCAGCAGCCAACCATTTCTTCTGGTGCTTGGGAAAATGTCTCGATATGTCTGTGAAATTTTTACTGTGGGGTGTAGTCTGATCTGTTTCATCAATCCATTTATGTATAAACGATGCTGCTGACCAGATACAACGCTCTTCTTCGCCATTCAGAGACTCGTGTTAGATATCTAAACTTTTCTGTAGAAATATCGGAATTTGATTCCAGGCGCTGAAGAGATACGAAAAACACCAAATTATATTGCGTTTTCCTGTTCAACAGGCACGTCTGCCCTAATATCTGCCGCTAATAATGAATGATCGAGGTATTGCGTGTACTGCGCAGGTTGAGGCCCGACATCAGGTTGCTCGAAGAGGGCGACATGGACGGCGCAGGCTGCGAGAAATCTCGTCTTGAAGAGAAGCAGAGGGAAACGAGGAAAAGTCGCAAAAAACACAAGGGCGAATGGAAGAGCAGGTGAGAATCTTGAAGAAAAGGACTGTTCCTAAGTTTGAAGTCTAGTTAGTGGCAACCTATGCTTGAATGTTCTCTTGGAAAATCTGGAATTAAATTTTAGTAATTTTATGCGTTCGGCTATTGGGCCAAAATATTCAAACAATTTAATTTACAGGTTTAGCTTTATTTCTTAAAAGTTCTAAAAGTTTTGCGTAAAAGTTCTAAAAGTTTTTTTGTTTTCTTAAGTTTTGCGCATTCAATAAATTTTACTAACCATATGTGTTTCTTTATTTAATAGGGTATATGCATACCAATTTTTTTCCCATTAAAAAGTATGTACACATACTTGTGCAATAAGTTATTTGCTAATGAAAACACTTCTACATACAATAAGTTTGACTAATAAAATAACTTAAAAACAATATACAATAATTTATATTGGTACATCAAGTTATACAGTACACATGCAATAAGCTTTACCTATTCAGACAAGATTTCATAACACACTTGGAATTTTTTCTTAGAATCAGTTACTTCAAGGAATATTTGTTTGTAATTACAGGTGGTTCGAGCAAGGCACGAACGCGTTCAATGGACAACCAGATTGGCTCTACTCCGGACGTTACTGGGAGCGCAATTATGCGGACGTGGAGGAAATATTCTAATTAATTTGTTCCTTCTCAGTAATTAGCGTGATAAATTCAAAACCAATTCTTAAACTTTAAATTTATCCATGCGGTTGTGCCAGTTGTCTCTTTTTAACGTTAGCCCGTAAAAATTCTCGAACTTCATATTCATGCGTCTTTTTGGTTGCAGCAGAGTTACACTTCTTCTCATTCTGATATCGTCGTTCCACGCTTTCGGATATTTTACATGCAAGAATTGAAGATCGACTTTATTGAACGCGCATGTATTTGTTGTCGCCTGATTTCCCTTAAGTTTTGTTTCACAATCATTTGAACTTGATTCGCTTTCTCCTATTGATATAATTGGATTTAAGTATTTCCAGTCGGCCGGCCTCTTCACCGAAAATTTATTCAATATTCCAAGCGTATCAAATAAATGTAATTAGTACAACCCAGTGCCCTTCGGTTAACTCACTCTTTAAGCGGATTACCATCATGCCGGTTTTGACGAAATAATGATTTACTAATTCAAGCCAAAGCATTTTCCGATAACGACAAATAGGACGATGATTAGAAGATTGATCCAACTTCGTCCGCATTTCCTCCTGCCATTCAGGGAACACGTCGGCCGAGGGCCAGCGTTTGCCTTCGGTCTACTTTGCTCACGCGAGGCTCTATTTTCCTACGTGTGCTATGTATTTTTGAATGAAATATTTGTGAGTTTTAAATAATGTAAACTATCAAATAGGTAATGTAACATCGTTAGCCTTGTACCATCGTTTTCGAGCGTTGTTTAATGCGTACTTTCTTACTCGTATTATGGAAAGGGGGTGAAGATTGCACGAATCTGAAAACATCCATCGGCAAGAAGATACACCACGTGTCCCCAAGTCAATTGATTGAAGTATAACAAATTGTGATCATGCCCGATCTGCGCTTCAAAATTTCAAAAAATTTGCCTCTTTCTTACAGTGTCAAAAATGGTGATGGTTGAGAATGAAAGTTCACACAATTGCCACTAAACAGATTGTTTACTCGGCGTTACGTGCAGAATGCTCGGCACATATTTTAACGCCTGTTGTCAACGTGACGTTGTTTATCATATCAAAAGCTTTCTTATCCAGACATTGTTCTGGAGACAGTTGGAGAAGGAACGCAATATCACGCTTTTACTCTACCTATACGTGTCCTCGGTCTCCAGATCTCGCCATGATTGATTATTGCCATTCACTACGGTTTTCTGAGACTTAATACCTATGTATTAAGTCTCAGAAAGCCGTTGCATTGTTTCGTGTTGGAGAAACTCTCCGGCTGGTCGTACCTCCATATAAGAGTCTACATAACTGATTCGGTAGAATTTTTCACTTGAATTTCTTCTTTAGATGACGAACGTTGTGCAACATCCTGTGACGAAATTTCAATTTTCCGATACAGTTGTTGACATTTCATAGTTTCAGAAATCGATTGCATTAAGAAGTTTCTTTTTCATCGTTAGCCTTGGCTTCCAAATAAATTAATAGATCTCTCGAATATCCTTTAGTGTAGTTTGATGGAATTGTTTAATATTTCTATATAGACTTCAATCTGATTGCGTGCTCTTCTCAACGTGCACAATAATTCAATCAATGCTGATATCAATATTGTTAAGCACCAGTTGCCATTTTTTCGTTGCGATGGTTTACTAATGAAAATTGTACGTAAGAACTTGAACAAATTTTCATCAGTTGTAGGAATTTCAGTAACGTGCCAAGTGTATTTACGATGTCACTTTTTATGACCGAGTTATAGTTCCATGGCGGCCGGTAAAGAAAAAATTTAAAAATAGCACAATAGCACCCGTAAATTCTTCATATTTTCTGCCTCCTGTCTTTATGAAATACACGTATTAGGTAGCGATTTTAATAACAAGTTTAAATAGCCTAGGAAATTATTCGAAACCTGTATTAGCTCACTGTAAGGAGTAGCAATAGCTTCTAGAATAATATTGCTGTATGATTGCTTTGACTTTACTTCATCTTTACTGTTTGCATCGCTATATGAAGCAGCACATTTTTGTTTGTTGACTTTTCCATTTAATCGACTTAGAATGTCCGTGCTGTTGGCGGACCAAATAATCAGCCAGATCATGACTAACAGAGCGATCTCTAGGATTTACGTTGCCGTATGGACAAGCATTGGCATAAACTGGGATCGGTCAACTGCTTGTTACGTTTTTGAACTTGCGGGCGATATGAGATAGGAGATCAACGTAGATACAGTACACAGATTCAACTGCCAGTAAATGTAACTATTGACTGTAGTGTTTTTCTTCAGCAGTCGAGGCAATTCATTAAGATGAGACGGGGTCTGAACTTTTCCCTATAACTGATTATTTCAGTCACAGTAATGAACTCAAATAAAAGCTTTCAACATTCGCCCACTTAATGAGATAGTGATAAATATTTGCCCTGGAGAGGGTTGACCACTCAGCTGAGTGAGTTCCATTGAAGTCATCCTCCGTTGCTACTTGGATATTGCTGGTAGTGAATATAATTATATTTTGCAAAGTGTATTTTTTGCAGAGAATATATATTATCCATAATAAAGATATATATATTTGTTGATGTAGTCATCGATGTTATAGATTACGAGTTCTTGCATACGGTAGTTAATGTATGCGAGAGGACGTTCATATATGTAGGTTGTGAGAGTTCTTGCATACATGTCTTAGGAAATATAAATGAGTTAGGAATGTCATCGTCATGCCGCATGCGTCATCGTTCTAGAAAAATAAAGAGAATGGAATAATAAGTAAAAACATACGCGTCGGTTTGGGCCAAAAACCCAGGATGAGGTTGCCGAAACAATATATGCGAGAGGACGTTCATATATGTAGGTTGTGAGAGTTCTTGCATCCATGTCTTAGGAAATATCAATGAGTCATCGTTCTAGAAAAATAAAGAGAATGGAATAATAAGTAAAAACATACGCGTCGGTTTGGGCCAAAAACCCAGGATGAGGTTGCCGAAACAATTAGGTACCGAGCGAGCTATTGTAGTTGTTCTGAGTGAAGAATGTTTTCGGATCATATTTTTTTATTACAATAAGCATTCAGCTGTGAAATTTTGTCTCATTTTTCATTCCAAATTTTTTTTTCTACCACAGTTCTGAAAATTAAGAGACGAAGATCAGTCTGCTTGGTAGTATTAGACTCTTTAGTGTAGCGAGAAGTTGAAACGTACCGACGTGCATAAATATGAGAAGCAAGACTAACTTTCTATTTTATGACGGATTATAATCGGGTAACGAATTTTGATATCGTATCAAAATCCTGTACATTTTTCCAACAGCTATATTAAAATTTTTCACTTTATTAAGAAAAATCAGCTTTTGGATTTTCCAGTTCGTTCCTTTCTGCGTCCAATGATCGAGGCATTTATGCTAAAGTTTTACTTGACACCGATACTTGTCACCGCATCCGCCTCTTTTGATCGATCGGATCTTGAAATTTTTTGTCATTTGGGAACATTAGCTTTAAAGGAGTATAATAAACTTATGCGCGGGTCTGTATTCTCATTGTCCTTAGGCAGCAAGGGAAACTTGAGTACACCGTATATTTTATTGCAATTATTTGCGTAACAATATTTTTTCATCCATAGCGTGTCCAGTGACCTTAAGCGCAATTCTCTATAAATGTATTGTGCCAATAAGTATCGTAATGTATGACACTAGAAGAAATTGAAACTGAGTCATAAAATTTAATATTTTATTTATTAAACTTTCACTTACGAAGCCTCTTGACAGATTTCTTCGACGATCTACTTCTGCTTCTGATTGAGCAGCGGCTCTTGGCACGGCCGAATTTGCCCTGCACTAATTTCTTCAGAACATCCCTTATTTTGAATTATGACGAAACATTTTTCTTTCCTACGAAAGCTTACGCGATTTTAGCTCCTTCAGGTAATTTCATGGCACTCGCCAGGGCTTCTATGTAGGCTTTCATGGCAACTCGTTCGTATTCGGTGACTTTCCAGAGCTCGACCGTGCCGTCGCGGTTCACAAAAATACCAGGAAGCATGGCGGACTTGAGAGTCTGGAGGAGTTCTTCTCTTCCCGTCGAGGTTAACGCCTACAAAAACCACCCAATGACAGCAACGCCCATGAACATGTCCACCAGGTTGTTCAGACCTTGCTTCAACTTGGCCGTTTGGTAGTGCTTGAATTTCAAGACGATAGATACCAGTGTGGGCAAGTAGAGAACGACGACAGTGTTGCGAACAGTGTTCCAGCTGAAGTTTACTTGTGCAAAATCGTCGAATACACACGACGTGGCCCTGAAATACTGCCACCATAAGACGTTAGTGCAGTGCGGTGACAGTCCGTACTTTATCTTACTGAGCGATCTATACATTTTTCGTTCAGGCAGAAGCACCACGTCGCTTTCTTTCTGCGATTCCTTCAAAAGTTCTTCATACGTCATGTTCGAGAGGTCGTAAAATTCGGGAGGGTCAACTCGCTCGTACAGCGTGATAACTTTCTTAGAATATTTCACCATTAATTTGTGCTCGATGAAGGTTATGCCCTTCTAGCTCCAGATACGGTCGTGTTCCAGATCAACGAACGATTCATTCTCCTGTTTAGAGAACGGCTTCCCAGCTAAAGAAGAGTTCTCTACACGCTGCATCTTCTCCAACTAGCCTTGGGTAATGCTCTGGTTCCATGTAACCAAGACGATCAATATAAATATGCGACTCATGGTTTGTTTAGCGCTATTAATATTGAAAGAACATAATCCGAGGTTTACTCGCCTCTGCAAAATTTGAAAACGCACGTGATATGTCAGTGACTAGTATACTGGATACCATGACGGTGGGTTTCCAACAATTCTAGAGAAATGAAGCGATCGTAAATCAGATAAAGAAGAAGAACTAAATAGCACGCTCTCTTCTTAGTCACACGAACGCGTCAAATTAATTATCCTCAGCCAAGCCAGAAGTAGAAGTAATATTCGACGGTAACAAAGCAGTTCAATATTTAGCGACATCGTCATTGACTTTTTTCAAGTAAAACGAACACTCGAAACCTTGGCACTAAAATTATTTGCAATGAATATGAATAATAATCGAATCTCGTTAGACAAAATAAGCTGTATTTATCAGAATCAATGCCAAAGCGACAATTCTATGTTCAAGTTAAACTATACATTAAGAATTTTTTTATACCGGTCGTGTCCAGTTCTACGGAAACTTGAATTTTTATAGAAAATAAATTCAGTTCTGTGTTGAACACTTGATGGGAAATTTTTTATAAAAAATAACTCAACACATTGTGTTACAAATCAGGAATGATATCGAGCCAAGCAATAATTTGGAGCCATTCCAAAATTTACATATTTTCGCCCTTTTGAAGGTTCGTTCACTAAGGTCATCTTATCCAACACAAATAACCAACTATAAAGTAATTTGCATGAAAGACTGCAAACCTAGATCTGGTTGAAATGTTTTTTACGTCTTATTAGATTTACGTTTTACATATTTTTTAGGTTTCATTATTTTACTTTATTGCGTTTAAAGCACGTGAAAAGAAATGAAATTTCAGGAATGGGCTCTAAAATTAACCCAAACGCCAACCCTGCCACTGTTTCTGGGGAAGCAAAATGAAGCCACAAACAAGATTGGAACAACAAAATTTTATATTGGAGAAGAAGTATACTGTTCCGTTTTTCTTCCCAATCTTGCTGTACAATTACCCTCCAATGAGCTTTTCAACAAGGACAGGGAAGGACGTGCCAGAATAAATGTTATAATAAATTTTGACTTTCATCATTAATATGAATCGATATAAGGAGGCTGAAATAAGCATGAAAATTTCCGAATATAATTTTACCCAGAACAACAATACACAATTCAACGGAATATGGAGCTAACACTTTTATTTATACAATAAATATAAACCAGACCCTTCCATAGCCTAGGGGTATGCATTTACATGACCATGGACTTGAATTCCTTGATGACTGCATTGGCAATGACCAGTCTCTGTATCTCGGACGTGCCCTCGTAGATCTCTGTGATGCGCGCGTCTCTGTAGTGGCGCTCGGCGGGCATGTCAGAGACGTAGCCCATCCCGCCCAACACCTGTATGGCTTGGTGGCTCACGTACGTCGCCGTCTCCGACGCGTGCAGCTTCGCCATCGCTGCCTCCTGATAGACAACCGCACGTGTGTCAGCAATAACGCGTAACCCATAACACGTGACCCATAAAGTATAACCAATCAAGTGTCAGCAATAACGCGTAACCCATAACACGTGACCTATAAAGTAAAATCAATCAAGTGTCAGTATTAACGCGTCACCATTAAAGTTTAGCAAATAAGTATAACATATCCCGTGTCACCACTAACGCGAGCCAAAAACGTATTTTCAATAAAAAACACTCAACGCGAACGTATCACACTTTCAACTGCTATTCGACTCAAGGCGTACTTACTTAATGAGTGCCTAGGATTTCCCTCTAATACTGCAATAGTTTAGAATAACCAGACCTTTAGTTACGAATAGTATTGACAACAATTAGTGCATCTGAAGATAGAGAATTAAATTTTTGAAGGCTGATGCTAACACTCTAACCAGACTTCCAGCTCAAATATAATCGACGACGGTTAATTTATATGTAGATCAAGAGTTAAAGCGCAGTCGCCAGGAGTCAGGACTACAGTGAGATTGCTACCTTGGTGTAGGGTTTCCCCTCATCCTTGAGGGCAGCAGCGCGGTGTGTTAGCAGGCGGGCTGACTCTATTCTGAGGGCCATCTCGGCTATCTTGTTCTGGATCGACTGTAGCTTCAGGATTGGAGCGCCGAATGCCTGTCTGGAAAAAAAATTCCAATAACAATTATGTCTTAATTATATTGTATTAAAACGTTAGTATTAAACTCAAGCTAAAAGCGGGTGTTAAGGATTGTTTCATGAATTGAGGAACAGGGTATTAAGCTACAAAGATAATATAAATTAAACTGATAACAAACAGTCATAGATGAAGTTTCATCTCAGGCGATAGTAAGGCAGGGTAGGGACCTCTTATCCGCGTAGTCCAGAGCGCACTCGAATGCAGCCTGTGCGATTCCCAAGGCTTGGCTCGCAATGCCGATCCGGCCAGCATCTGCAAGAAGCTATACATTTTATTGTTTTGTGATGAAAAAATCCCTGCCATGTACTTACTCAACATTATGTTGTAAATATTTACTGCGACCCTAAACAATGGATATTTCTAGGTGGCAGATCATGAAAAAGTAAAATAAAGGAATTCTCAAATTTTCCCTGCATCTTAAATTAATTTTTTAGGTAACACCTAAATTGAAATTAATTAGAGCAGGTAACGTACTCACTTAAATAATAATCATAACGCCAAAATAATTTAATGGAATATTCTGTCCTATCACTGGGTAGATAAGTTTTTTTTGTGTTGGTCAACTTTATAATAAATGGGATAGAAATTCACAAATTATTTATTATTAACCATATAAGAACCCTAATACTAAACTTTATTAAAAAGTTAGTGGCCATAATTACATATAAACATCTCCAAGTAGAAGCTCCTATGAACGTTCTCTACAGCTTACCAAGTGTCATCATGGCGATTTTGAAACCCATTCCTGGCTCTCCAAGCAGGTTGGCACGCGGCACTGGGCAGTCGTCGAATATCAGGTTAACTGTGGAAGATCCTCTGATGCCAAGCTTATCTTCCTTCTTGCCTAACGATAATCCTGAGGAGATAAATTAGCACGTCAAGAATGGTGAATACCGGTACCTACGCATGTCTGCAAATAGGCGATTTTTGTTCTTCTATTGAAAATTAAACAACAACAAATAATCTAGACTATCTAAAAGGACTTTAAAGACTTGCTCATGACATTTTTTGTTCATAATTAAAATTATTATAATTTTACTAGATCATTTAGATGGAAAAGATGAGTAATTACACAATGTTGACATATATACATGTCTATTTTAACATTTAATCAATGTAATGCAGTAGTATATAGCTCTCTGTGAAAATCTTATGTAAAAGCTTAAACCTTGAGTACAAAAAAACACTTAAAAATAAATGGTAATGGACGTTTAAATAGTGTAAATAAAGAATGAGTAAATAATATAGAGTAAACTGTTAACCTTCAAGTGGGCTAATTTTTGTTGTCAATGTTAACAACAAACAAACAAACAAACAAACAAACAAACAAACAAACAAACAAACAAACGCGAAGCTAAGCTAAGAAAAACGTTTTAATAACAAACAAACAAACAAACAAACACGAAGGTAAGATAAGAAAAACGTCTTAAAAACGTGTTAAAATAAATGGTCATGGACGTTCAAATAGTGTAAATAAAGAATGAGTAAATAATATAGAGTAAACTGTTAACCTTCCTTCTTATACCTATACAACCTTAAATTCTTGCCTTACCATCACATGGTTTTGGCACAATGAATGCACTGATGCCTTGATGCTTTTTTGATTTATCTGTGGTGGCAAAAACTACAGCTGCCTCTGCTTCATAACCATTAGTAATCCATGCCTTAGTGCCAGTCAAGCAGTAATCACTGCCTCGGTCCACAGCCACAGTAGAAGCTGCACCTGCATCACTTCCATTACCTGAAAACATTCAACCATAAACAAGATAAAAATCTCAATCATTAATGATAGGTAATTATGCATTTCATTACAAGACCAAAATGGTAATCAAATTTCAATGGTATAATGACAAAATTTGATCATAAGATATTATATGTATATTGCCTTGATATGACAGACATAAGAAAGTTGCACAATAAATCTCACCAGGTTCAGATAAGGCAAAACAGCCAACCTTATGGCCAGTCATAAAAGTTGGCAAAAATTGGTTCTTCTGTTCAGCAGTTCCAAATTTATCAATAGGGCCTGAGTAAAGGCTGTTATTGACACTCATAATAACACCAGCACTGGCACAGCCACGACTTATTTCTTCCAGGGCAACAGAATAGGCCAAGTAGTCTAGACCAGCTCCACCAAACTCTTCTGGAACTGCTATGCCCATCAGCCCTAAAGCCCCCATCAGCTCAATCTGCAAAGAAAGTTAGACAGACCAATGAATAAACTTCTTAAATATGGGTAATAATACTTGTATGGTCCAGGATACAGGAGCAGTCTAACATGATATAGGTACATATATATAATGCATATATTAACTATATTATATAGGTACAAGTTTTCTACAATGTTTTCTAATCTTCAGCATACATATCAAACAAGCCAATATGTACCAGCTATATATATAAAGTATTATGAACCCTTACTTGTTTATGGGGATAAAGGTGTTCTTTATCTATTTTGGAGGCGATTGGTTTCAATTCAGCATCAGCAAAATCACGACAAGTTTTCCTCAACATTTCATGTGTCTCAGGGAGTGATGAGAAATTACTGAGCTGCATTCCGGAAATCTCTGAAAAAGGAAGTATTGAGATTATAAATTACTTTTAAAACTAACATTAAAATGATATACGGTAATGAAATATACAAGATATATTACAAAGAAATAATTTCTCATTAAACCAGTAAGGTTTTTTTAAATGTTAGATAATTTTAATATTATTATAATGTACCAACCCTCAAACTACAATTTCACCAATGGCTGTACTGCAACATAAAAATAAACAACTCATTTACCTACCATAGAACAAGTTGACTTGGACCAATGAGGGGGTAACTTGAACATATTGACATTAAGGAAAATAAAACCCTATACTCAAGATGTTCTTGCCTTGGAAAAATTGTGGTGATGGCTATTGAAGAACCATGAGATAACCTACAAATGCAAAAATAAGAGATATATTTTATATACCTATATAATATGTGCCTATTTGTATCACAAAAAGGTAGGTGATAGAAATCAAATGGTCCAAGTCAACCTGTCAATGGTTCAAAGTTTTAGGGTAATATCACTCACTACTTACTTGGAAAAGGGATGGCCCGTGACCAAACATGTCTACAAAGATGATTCAACATCTTGAGTAATTATGCTTATCTTTTTTTCTTGTGTACAATGCCCTAACACTCAACAACTCATACTGTAAAGGTGAAATGAAAAAAAATTAAAGACCAAAACGTTCAGTTATATACAGTGGGTGCAAAAAGTATTACAAAAAGAAAAAACTCTAATTATAGCCCATTCAACAAAATAACATAACCAAACACTACCATCAAACGGGGTAAAAAGGGACGGTTTTGAGCGTTTTTTGACAATAACTTCTTACCATGAAACATTTCAGAAACAAGTTTAGGCTCATTTTGTAGCTCTTTGCAAGGGCTATCCAATGGCATCTTCAAAAAAGTTCCATATGCTATTCGTAAGGTGCCAGATGCAAAATTAAACCGTCCCGATTTACCCCTGGGAACGGGGTAATCCGGGATACTTGCAATAAAAGTTAATTTTATGAGATAGGCAAATTCCGTCAATTCCGTTTTCAAGCCAACACCTGGGTGCAACTGTTATGTAAGTAATTTTTTTTTAATCCGGCGAATATTTTTTTTTGCTCCAGACCTTAGCAGAGGTACTTTTCCAAAATCACACTTTCCACATTTTTTTCAGCGATTTTTTATAGATAGTAAATGTTTGATTTCTTGACTAGCTTTATACATAATAGATAGTAAAAATGTTGAAGTTTATGCCACTATTTATAATTTTGCAATATTTAGATTAGTTTAGCTGTTACAACATTTCTACAAAATGTGGGACGCGCGTCCCGATTTACCCCGCCCATCCCTTTTTACCCCGTTTGACAGTATTCTAATGTAAATTTAAGTGGGAAATACAAATATCAAAACAACAATATCATTAAATGTTGACTTGATAATTGCAATTATGTAAAAGTCAACATTCAAAAAGTATCCATCACAAATTGTCAAATGGGATTATAAGGGATGATTTTGAGCATTTTACAACACTTCTCTTTATCTTCAATTCTTTTTGTTTGTTTGTTTGTCTGCCACAAATCTTATAATCAATATTTAATACACTTCTACCTGTCCAATCGATCTGAAATTTTGCACACTTGCATAAGTTTGGAGACAATGCACAAATCAATTTATAGAATAAATAATTTTGAAAATAAAAAAATATATTTTTTTCAATATTAAAAAATATTGACAAAATAATTTTGTCAGCTACAAATCTTATAATTGATATTTGACACACTTCTACCTGTCCAATTGATCTGACATTTTGCATACTTGTGTGGAGTTGGAGGCAATGCATGAATCAATTGACAGAATAAATAATTTAAAAAAATTATATATTTGAAATAAAATTAGAAATTCTTTGTACATCTGTAACATTGGAGACACTGGATTCTTTAGAAGTGTTGTCTTTAAAAAGTAATTTTTAAATGTATACTATTTATTATTACAACACTTCTCTTTAACTTCACTTCTTGTTTGTCTGTCTGTCTGCTACAAATCTTATAGGTAATCAAAATTTAACGCACTTCTACTTATCCTATCGATCTGGAATTTTGCACACATGCATAAAGTTGGAGACAATGCATGAATCAAATGACAACATGAATCAAATGACAAAATAAAAATAATTTTAAAATTAAAAACCATTTTTTTCAATATTAAAAAACTGAAAAAATAATTTAGTCAGCTACAAATCTTATAATTGATATTTGACACACTTTTACCTAATTGATCTAAAATTTTACACACTTGTGTGAAATTGGAGGCAATGCATGAATCAATTGACAGAATAAATAATTTTCAAAACAATTTATATACCTATTAAAAAAATTGAAAAATTCAATTTTTTAATATTCAAAAATAAAATTAGAAATTCATTCTACATCAGTAACATTGGAGACACTGGATTCTTCATAAATGTTGTCTTTAAAAAGTAATTTTTAAACATATATTATTTGTTAATAACTTTTTACCATGAAACACTTACTAATGAATGAATTTGGACTCATTTTAAAGGTCTTAGCAAGGGCTATTGTATGGCATCTCTGAAATAATTCCATATGTTATTTGTAAGGTACTACCGTACTAGATGCAAAAGGAAAGTGTCTTGAATTACCCCTGGGAATGGGGTAATTTAGAACACATGAAATAAAACTTAATTTCAAAACATTTGAAGCATGTAGAGTGTACTCATCCATTACTAACAGTAGGTACTACAAGCTCCAAACTTCTCATCATTTGTAGATGATGTAGATGTAGAATAAATGATATTTTCTGTGATTTGTACTTGTTTTTCCTTCAAGGTTGGTGATTTTTTAAAAAATAAATAAAATAAAAAATCAATTATTTTTTTACTTTGTCATGATTTTTTTTTATTATTTCAGCTTTTTTGTCTTTTTGAAATGTTTTTTTTTCATGTTGCAATTAGCCTACTAACAATAACAGTATATGGATCAAAATAGATGGCTAAAAAGGGCACTTATTGCCTTCAAGAATGGCCAAGGCAGTGTTTACCACTTTGGGACTTTTGGGTAAAGTGATAAGTCTATTCATTATCTAAATAAAAATAAATATTGACCATTTAACTGGCTTCAATATACAAAAACACTTAAGGAATGCAGATCTTCTGAACATTGAAAAATCACATAACAGATACGTAGGTAGGTTGCTGATAGCAAAGTGCACAACACTATCAATAGATCTGCCGTCAACCGGGGCTTCTTGGGGCAGTTTTGAGCATTTTTTGTTAATAACTGTTAATAACATCTTAGGATGAAACATTTCATAAACAAGTTTAGGCTCATTTTATAGCTCTTTGCGAGGGCTATTGAATGGCATTGTCAAAAAATTCCATATGCTATTCGTAAGGTGCCAGAAGCAAAAAAAAAGAGTGTCCTGAGTAGCCCCGTTTGACGGGGCTACTCGGGACACTTGCAATAAAACTCAATTTTTAAAACTTTTACAGCATGAAGAATGTACTCACCATTACAAAAGTATTCTGAAGTCCTCCTCTTTCATTGTAGATGATGTAGAGGTAGAATAAATGACATTTTCTGTGATTTTTACTCGTTTTTCCTTTATTGATATATTACCATAAACATTAATTACCGTCAACTGGGGTGACTTCGNAGTGCCTACGGAACGGGACCTTATTTAAAGAATTATTGGCTGAAATTCATAAAGTAACAACAGATAAAGTAACAACATTTGGCAAATTTTTCCAAAAGTCGTAACAAAAGTAACAACATAAGATCTAATAAGCAAAAAGTAACTTTTGTTACGAACGTAACACCTCTGGCTAGAGGCGGGAAAATGATGCGTTGTGAAAAAAAAGTCGCGCTAATCAAACTGGCACCGCGTAGATTAAGGGTAGGTTGCAAATTTTTTTTCCGCGTCAATCAAAACCGTGGTATTCAAAACCGTGCTAATCAAGGGATTGCTGTAAACATGTGCACAATTAAAACATTTTCTTTCCATACACTGCACTTAGTTATTTTATATATAGTTTTATATATAATTGTAATTATTTTGTTACAGGGTGGTGCAGAGCTGATTGAGCAGTTTTGAGGCAAAAGAAAAGAGTAATAGAGGTACATAGAGAAGAAAGTTCATTTTCCTCAAGGTTAGCATAACATACCATTAGGAATACTTATATGTTTTGAAAACAATATCTGGAAGATGGTGGCTGTTAGCTGCAACACACTGTTGGAGTCGTTCTTGGAGGAGGGAGTAACCGTGACTGTGTGACAGTGGATTCCAAATGCTATGCTGCAATGTTGCAAAACTTCTTGCAGCCCAGGATGAAAAAAATTGTTGAAAATGAAGCATTGGGAGACGTGTGGTTACAGCAGGATGGGGATACAGCTCACACAGCCTGAATGTTACTCAATGTTTTGAAACAAATGTTTCCCAGATGTCTGGTGTCTCTGAGGGGTGATTTACAGTGGCCTGCAAGGTCACCTGATTTGAGCATTTGTGATTTCTTTCTTTGGAGACATCTAAAAGAAAGGGTGTTTAGAAGTTGCCCTCAAACCATACCACAGCTAAGGGAATGGATTATTGCAGAGGTTTTGGCCATACCTGGCCATATGTGTGACTGTGCTGTAGGAAACTTCCAAGAACGACTCCAACAGTGTGATGCAGCTACAGGACACCATCTTCCTAATATGGTTTTCAAAACATAAGTATTTTAAATGGTATGTTAGGTTAACCTTGAGGAAAATAAACCTTCTTTATGTACCTTCATTTCTATTTATTTCACCTCAAAACTGCTCAATCAGTTCTGCCCCACCATGTACAATTAAATGTGTTAGCTAGCTTATAATAAGCTAGCTAACACATTTTAATTGTATAGTGTAATTAATATATAACAAAGTCTAATAGTTAGCTAAAGACTTCTTATAGCCTTATAGGTAAGTTATAAGAATTAGCTAAGCTGCTAGCTATGTACAATGTATTGCAACACTTGATGCCTCTGTACCATAAACATACAATTCATTGGAACCTAATACCGTAGGGCGTAGACACTAATGGCAACAAGTTTATATTCCAATTTGTCATCGTACATTTATACTAATCCGTGAATAACAATACCTCAAAATAAATTAAAGACTGCTACTCAATAAATTTAAATATAAAGGAAATAAAAAATCATGATTTTTTTACAAAAATCAAATGATTCAATCACATGATTCAATCAGTTTGATTTAATCTATCTCTATGCCAATTGCCAACCCTGTTTTCCTTTATTGATTAATGATTATATTAATGAATCTATACATTACTGTATTATTGATGTAATATTACAGATTTACAGCATCCATGGACATGCCATTGAGCAGTGAAATGACCTTGCCCACCACAAGCTTTATATCAGCAGCCGTATAGCACTTCTGTATCTGCAAGCTTACATGACTGGGCTTGTAGTTTTGCACCGTTTTAATTAGGCCAAATGACTTTACTATACCTACAAAAAAAAGCTAATTAAAACCACAATTGAAAAAGAAAGGAATATTTTAGTGACTACCAATACCATTATACTTTTTTGGAGAAATACATCATAGTTTAGACTTTAGGTTAATTACAATTCATTGTTTATTGCCCAGTGTACAATTCTATATATGACATTCTATGCACAA